AGGGAAGTGGGGTTTGGGGTGCCGGAGGGGGGGCGGTGTGTGTGTGTTGGGGCGGGGATCCGGTCGTATGGATGTAGGGTTTGGGGGTTCCTTGGAAGGGCTTGAGGGGTGTTGGGCGAGGAGGACTTGGGGCTCTGAGGGAGGGGGGCTTGGGTTGGGCGGGGGGTGTCGTGAGGTGAGCTGGGATAAGGGGAGGGTTTGGGGCCTGGGGGATGCGAGTAAGATTTGGGGCTGTCTGGGTGCTTGAGGGGTGTATGGGGAGACTTGTCTGTACGAAAGGGTTGCCCTGATGAGGAGGGTGGCTTTCAAGGTGTCTGGGCTCATTAAAGAGTGAGGAGAAGGAGTGCTTTGGGGGGTTTGGGGACACTCGATGTCAGGGAGAAGAGGGGTGAGTAGAGGTTAGGCATGCGTAATGTGGGGGGTGGAACAGGAGCGGTATGGGAAGGGTCGTTAGGTACGGGTGCTGGATGAGCTGGTGGGCTCTGAGGAGGATTCGGGGTACGCCTTGGTGGCGGTGGGTGCATGTTGGGGAGCAGATAAGGTGGCTGATGTGTCTGAGAGGTTAATGTAGGGGGAGGGCTTCAGCGCCTTACAGAGTTGTTTTGGCGTGGTTTGGGCAAGGCTTAGGAGGACTGTCCATTGAGGCAGCGGGGAGCTGAATGATGGGGTTTGAGTTTTGTGTAATGTGTTGTTTCTGGTAATTCACAGGAATATGTGTAGATAGGAGATTTGTGATGGGAAGCGTTTTCTGCTCCCTTTGGGGATAAGAATAAAGCCTGTAGGACTTGTAGGAGCCCATAGGCTCTTGATATCCATAAATCCTGTTTTAAAAGTTGAGACAGCATCATGCTTTCAAATTGTTTTTATTCACTGCTAAATCTGGAGAGTGGCTCCTCTTGCACTGTAGGTCAGTGATACCAGTGGCTTGGTCAGGACTCCTGTGAGCATTGAGGGAGAGCCAGTTGGGAAGAAGCAGATGGATACAGTTACTGCAATCTTAGAAGATGAGGAATTTAACGGCATTTCAGATTTGCTTTTTTATGTATGTGAGAAGAGGATAAAATCCACCTCGTGATCCTGTGGAGAAGTAGTAACTCTCCCTCGTAAACCATGTCTCAATTCCTTTTCTCTTCTTGTGGGTTGAGACTGAAACCAGCGCTTGAGCTGCAGGTCTGTTAAGTGTTTTGTGTTCGATTGAGTCAACCTGAACCTCTTTAGTGTTCCGGCATCCCACCTGTATCTGTCTGCAACTCCCTCTGAAGGTTACCTGCCTGAGGAAAGATGCGTTAGGTGCAATAGTTAACAGGCATGTCTCAAGCTATCACATGTCAAAAAAAAAAACTTTGCAGACCGCTTCAGGAGCCTCCTGGACTATGGTAGCATTCAGTAAAGCTTTCTGCTCTTCCTTCAGTAGGAGGATCAGAACTTGACAGAATAGTTGGATGTTACTGGGTTTGAAACTGTCCCATGTGCCACCTCTAGGAGGAAGGGAAATGTGACTCTGCACAGGGAGAAAAGATGAACACTTGAGAGAGATCCTGGTAACAAGACCTTCCCTGTTAGCGTTATGCCATTTTTAGCAGGAAACTTCTGCTTTTGATGGTTAAATAAAATAATTTCTTGAAGAACAGTATTTTAAAAATAATTCCCCCCATGAATGATGTACTGGTTTGCATTGGCTTTCATAGCCTTTTGAGTAGATCGTTCTCCAAGTGCAGACAATCAGGTAGGAGTTTGTCTAGCATTTGGAGAAGTGGGGCGCTTGTGAGTTGGGTCTAATCTTCTTAATTGAAGGAGCTTGCGTAACAGTGTGGTAAAGTGCAGGAGGTCTGATTAAGGCTGCCTTAATAATCCCTGCGTAGTCACTGGAGAGAGTTGGCCGCTACTTAGGAAGCGAGGGACGGAGGAACTGCGCTTCAGGTAACTTTTTAGGTGCCTGCTGTGGGAATACCCTGAGGAATCTTGTATGGTATAAGACCGGTAAATATGTACTGTTTATGTGAGTCTTAACACTTCAGAAGTGTTTAGTGTGTTAGATGTACAGGTGCTTCAAACAATGAAAAAACAACCTTGGTTTATTTCATTCAGAAATTATAACTTGTTCTTCTGAGATATTTCTTACGGTTTTGCCTGCTTTGTGCCAGTAAAATAGCTGGGCTGACATGATGTTGTTAATTCTGAATACTGCAAGACTTGATACCAGCTTAATCAAAAGACACAAGTACATTGTCAAAGTTCGGGACCTGAGTTCAAAGGCCTGCCACGTAAAGCCAGTTGTAAATACTTTGGGCTGCTGATCGTATGCAAATAGGAAGAGGCTGGAGGAGGAGGAGGAAAGGGTAGGTTGATGTGAAATACTAAGATCATTGATTCATTTGGTTATGTGCGCACCTTGATCGGTCCAGTGAGTTGTGATAGTACGGGTTCACGTACAGGTGACGTGGCAAAATCGGCTCGCAAATAATTAAACTTTTGAGGGAGGAGGCATAGTAACTGTTACTTGCCAGGCATGCGGAACACCTTCCGATGTGCAAGCGACAAGAGGCTTGTGAAAAAGAAGACCTAAAGCCTTACTGCAGGTGGGCTGGGGGAATGTGGAAAAGGGAAGGAGGGGGCTGGATGGGTTTGAGTGGTAGGCAGTTGGTGATAGGAGTTACACAGAAGGCAGGTGAACCGGTTGCCTGAATTTATTTTTAGGTTTTGCCCTCTTCTGCGAGGTGATGTTGGCTCTCGCCTCTTTTAGCTAAGCCTGTGCTACGTTTCAGATAAACCCCTGAATTACAAAAAACTTTTAACTTCTCAGAAGTCTTTACAGGTACTGTTCTCAAATCTCCCACCTTTTTGCTCTTTTGGGGAGTTACCTACGTAAACATTCCTTTAGCCCATGTAAATGGGAGCTCTGTAAGAAGCAGAACCAGCGAACGCATTTCCAGTTGTTGCACCCTGAGGTTTTACTCACCTGTTCTCTGTTAAGGTTCGAGTCGCTGCATCAGCCTCTCTCTCTGTTGGGGTTGTACCTTTCCCTTATACAGATTTGCCTATTTTCACAGAACCAAAAGGCGCATAAGGTATCTATCCCACTTGCACTTACAGCTTGGTTGTGGAAGCCTTATTTCCTTAGGCAGAGAAACTAAAAATTCACAGGCAGGTAGATTTAATAAAAAAATAAAAATCAAGCCTGTTAGATGAATACAGCAGTGATAGTCTGATAGTGCGTTACAGCAGGTGGATTCTCCAAGGAAGGAGCATTGACTCATTTCACCAGTGAAGTCTGGCATTTAATTTGGAAGTCTGCCTGATGGTGACTGATACCAGATCTTTCCCAGGAGAACAGAGAATCCCTCTGATGGGCAGCTGATGTTTAGTGAAAGCCTTTTGCGCTGAAGCATGAAGGTTTGTACGTCTCAGAAAGTTGTATACCTTTATGTGTGCAGTTGGTTAACGATAGGTGATATTATCCCTCATGATGAATACATATATACATTATTATTTTTTTAATCTTAAACTCATGCTGTTAGTGGCATAGTGAGTTGAATAATTTCATAGGCTAGACACATTTTAGAAAATGTCTTTGGTTTCTGAGTTCGGTGCTTTTCTATTTTTCTGGTCATCTTCTGGCTGTTTCGGAAAGGTAAATGAGCGTGTTCAATGTATTGCCTCTGCGGCGTTTGCCAAATGGGATATTTTGGAGTTGTGCTTCATCAGCCTTACCAACTGTTGACCATAAAACTGTGCTGTCCTGAGCAACTGTACTTCAAAGTTGACTGTGTTAAAGTTAATATTTCTGAGTCGGCAATTTTCTTTTTTTGTTTTCATTTCAGTTGGATGTTAAAGTTTAAGCAGCTCTCTGCACTGTCTCTTTTCTCAACGCATTGAAGGCTGACCTGATGTTTCAAGCTGACATGTCATGATCTTGATTGTTTGTTGAAATGCTTTTTGATGCATGCTGAAGTGAAGTCAGTGAGCTTAGTTTGATTTTACAACTGAAATGACTAGTGGAGAAGAACAGTGAGAGGGATAGCGAAAAAAACAGTTAACATCTAATTCTCTTTTAATCTCCATTTTAAAAGTTCAAAATAACAATTTTCAAATGCTGTGTAATGTTCTGTAGTTTTAATTCCCTTTTCTAAGGAAACCAAGTTTTGTGTAGTTTTGCTTCCCATCAGTTCCTCTGACAATTGTTCACTGCTTTAGCATGCTGGCAAATTGCAGCCACCTTTGACAAAGGGATAGGTCCTACAAGTTAAGTGGAAATGATTCCCCTGGATCTCCTGGTGCTGCTCATGGCAAGAACTCAACCCTTATTAGACATAAGAGCAGCTCTACAAGCAAGAGAGTTTATGAGTGCCTGGACTAGAAGGGGCTTTGCTCTCTTACCTTCTCAGACTAGAAAAACACTTGATGATGAGACATGTGTTTCAAAGAAACTTTGAGCATCATAATGAATTGTTTGGTACAGGGCTCTTTAAAGCAGTCAGTCCCTCTGTCAAAATTTTGAGTTCACAGTGTGATTGTTTTCCTTTCATTTTTTTTTTTCCTAATGGTTCATTTATGTAGTTTGTTTGAAGCAGAGTAAATGCCTTTTTTTTTTCTTTTTTCTTGACTTGTTTGTGATAATCACTTAAAGCCTGCTGATTTAGAGCTGCTCTTTTACAAAAAACTAGGATAACTTAAAAACAGTGATTGGGGCATCAGAAATACTCTGCATATCATTTTGTAGTATCTTTGAATGCATTGAGGGATTGATGTATTGGAAAAAGAAATTAGTTGTGTGTTTTCCTTTAGGCAAAATACTTTGTCGGTTGTGTTCACCCACCGCATGGGAGATTTTACATTGTAAATACGTGTGTCTGTATGTATATATATATATAGGTCATTAGTTTTCTAAATCATTCATTATGGTTATCTTTCAGAGACTGTGAGCTGCTGCATTACTCTTCTATCATCTTGCACTGAATACTCATGGTATGTCCGAAGGACAGCTCTCTTGTGTGTTCTGAATGTACCAGGTAAATACCAGTAATCACTTTTCATGGGAGGTTGTGACCTGTTAAAGAGTAAGAAGTCAGGAGAGTGCAACTTTTACTCTATATTTAGTCCTAGTTGATTCTGTAAAAAGAGCCTGACAGGCTGGAGCCTAAAATTTATTTTTGTGTTTGTGTTATACTAGAAATCGGACAACTGGAACACTAATGCAACTATTTGCAACACAAATAAAGATGCAGTGTGTCAGTGGGAGTTTGCCAGCTTCCATAAATACCTTTCAAAAATTTACTCGGTATTTCTGATGCTTGAGGTAAAGCAGAAGGAGGGGAAATAGTGACATTTTTCAGGTAGAGGATTCCCATCAAAAGCCCTGCCTCACCTTTTTCTCTGAGAGAGGCAAAAATGGACTCAGCCACGACCTCTGAGAACCGTTTGATTGCCTTTCAGCGGCAGTGGTGTTACGAGAAGTACTGTTCAGTAGCAGTGGTGAATAAACTCTTACCTTGACTTATTTCAGGCTAGCATATTGGATTGTAATTAGCAGATATCACATCCATTCATGTGTCATTAACCTAATTGAATATTTGATACTCAGGTTGTCCTCATGAATACCTCAGTGGAGAATGTCCATGATCTTCTTTGCCTGTGTGGTGCGAGTGAGGGACGGACTTCCCCTCTCAGCCTCCACAGATTTTCATTTCAACCAGGACTTTCTGGAATGCAGAAAGAGATTAAAGGCGTTATCCTCAATTCTGGCGCAGTATCCAAGTCGAGGCACGGCAAAAGGACGTGACCTTAGCATACAGTAAGTCCCTGCTCTTGTTTGTTTGGGTGTTTGGCTTTAATTTTTGAAATGGTTGTCCTGGGGATTAGTTGAACTTTAAGGATTAGGTATATTCTGTAGTGCTTAACTCCATCTGAAGTCCCACCATGCACATCTAAATTGTAACCTCCAAGCAGTATTTTGACCGCAGCTCCTACTCAGTTTAGTAAGCGTATGTTAAGAATTGCTTATTTGAGTTGTCATGTTTTGTAGCAAATGCTTTCTGCTCGACAGGCAGTACTTGTCACTATTAGCTATTAGAGTATCTTGGACTTCTAGAAATACCTTCTAAGTCACCATCCTAGTGCCTAGGAATTACTTAGTGCTGTCTAACCCTCAAACCTGTTCCTTCAGTGACTGTCAAGCCTTGCTGATGCCTTCTTTCAGGCTCTTACAGCTCTGATTCTGGCTTGCAACAGAGCTGCCCCGACTCCCTCCTACGTGCTGCCCACTTAATTTTCTGAACACCAGCAGGGTTCAAGTCTCCAGAAGCTCTGGCTGATTGTTTGTCTTGAGGAGGGCCTGAAGAGAACAAGGCTGCTGGGGAGTGGCTGGGGGTGTTCAGCCTGGAGCAGAGGAGGCTGAGGGGAGCCCTCATCGCTCCCTACAACTGCCTGAGAGGAGGGGGGAGCCGGGGGGGTCGGGCTCTGCTCCCAGGGAAGGGGCGATGGGACGAGGGGCAGCGGCCTCAAGTTGTGCCAGAGAAGGTTTGTATTGAATATCAGGGAAGATTTCTTCACTGAAAGAGCGGTCAGGCATTGGAACGGGCTGCACAGAGAGGTGCTGGAGTCACTGTCCCTGGAGGTGTTCAAAAAACCTGTAGCCCAGTCACTTTGGGACATGGTTTAGTAGGCCTGGTGGTGTTGGGTTGATGGTTGGACTTGATGATCTTGGAGGTCTTTTCCAACCTTTATGATTCTATGAAGCATAATGACAACAGCCAGTATGGAGAAATTACAAATCTTTGCTTTTATTTATTGGAGAAGGATCTGCTAGTCTTTATTTTAAGAAGCTAACGTTTCATTCAGAGATGAGAATTTTCATTTACTATTGATTTTAGTTCAGTTCTAAAAATGAGTTTTAGCTTGTGATCACATTTCTGGTTAGCAAATATAATAAAATTTTAAAGTGACTCTGAGCTAAAACTAAGTATCCCTTTTAGGGTAGTGATTGGAGAAAGGAGATACGTGAGCTTACAGCGAATCAATTGGAAAAGCAGAGATTAGCATTTTAATTCCTTTTCCCTCAAAGCGAACTTGTGCCCTTTAATGCTAACACGTTCTGCTGCTTTTAATCTTCTGTAGTCTCTACAGAAGTAGCTACGCATCTGGCTCTGAAATGAGAAGAGTGCAAAGAGATACATGGCATAAAGGCTATAAATTATTGACAACTGGGAAAAGGTATTTTTACGCAGGCATGGTGTTGATCCAGTTTTACGCAGGCATGGCATTGATCCTCAGCTGTGAGCTGGAGAGAAAAGGAATTTAGGGAACATAGGCAGTGTAACTAGGCTGTAACGAAGCTAATCGAAACCATAAATCCCAAGCACATAGTACAGTAAATAAATAAAAATGTGATAAAACAGACACCACAAGTACTTCTGTATGAGAGGGATGAAACACATATAGAGTAGAAAAGAGAGAAAGTACAGAGAGTAATTATTCAGCTTCAGAGCTTTGGTTTTATACTGAACTATTGCTAACAAATGGCTAACCTTAAGGGAGGATTTCCACAGGCTGCTTTCATAGTTACAAATCCGTAATTACGGTGGGGGCTGTGGAAGTTTAGCTATCTACATTATGGGTGCTGACATCTGAACTAGGTGCCCTGACTCCCATCTTATTTAACGAAGCCTTGACGAGAGTGATTTATTTCATCCTTCGGTACATGCCTACAGTTTGGTCAGATGAATCCCCTGTTAAGATTACTAGAAGGTTTTGGGGCTCTCTGTAAGTGGAAACTGCTGCATAAATACAGCTTCAGTGTTAGGGGGACCCCTTTTGGAGTAGAGTTTTTATTGTGCTGTTTCTGATACAAACTCATCTTTATTTGTTACAGATGACTTAGCAGTAACAGTGTTTGAATATCTTGGTTTGTGCAAGTTAATAAATATCTCTTGCTGTTAATACCAAGTTGTCATATTCAAGGGGAGCAAGGAATACATCTGCTTGCTTCCTGTGAACAAGCTTGCTTGTTTTTACTTTTGTTTGTGGAGAGCCACTGTGTTTTCTTTCAAAATCTTCTTTGCCTGTGATGTTTTCTGGCCATCTCTTCTCTTATTAAGATGATTTAAAGCCAGCCTGAGAAAATAATGTCCTCAATTTTTACCGATCTGGCAATTTAATAAAAGCTGTATTGTGATCTTCAGTACTCTTAAGGCATACCGAATGAGTTCAGAACAAGCGTTATATCTACAGGGGCTGCAGGACTATTACAGCAGTGCAAACAATGTATTTTTTTGCCGTCTGCTCTTTCAGCGCAGTCTGTACACTTTGTTTTGACAGAAAGCACACTTTAATTCTCATGTTCAGCATGACTCTTTTACCTTTTTATGTTGATGTTACTTTTTGTCTTCTTCCCCCCCTCTATTTCAGTTTCCTTTCCTCTGGGGATATTGCCTGCATGGCAATCTGTTCCAGCAATTACTCAACCATCATGGCGTTTTGCTTCCTGGAAGAGCTCCAGTGGGAGTTTGCTGCTTCTTATGATACAACAAGCATCAGTTTAGCTTCCAGACCGTATGCTTTTCTTGAATTTGGTTTGTAGCTTTGTTCTCTAATAGTAAGAATTCTTTATCTGCTACATTTATGATGTTAAATAATGTCTCCTGGCCAAAGCCTGATCATAAAAACATATCTCTGTGTGTGTGCCTCTGCATGCATGTGTGGGAGAAGATTTTGTAACCGCATTAAACTATTAGATTATTGCTTTTGCAGTTCCTGAGAGCCCCTGTAATAGGTGAACAAAATGCTGTGTTGATTAATAAGCAAGCACAGAAGAAAAAAGAAATCCACATCTCAAACACTTTCTAATTTAATTAAAAAGAAATCTGACAAGTGGAGACAGATGGGTACAGGGAAAAAAAAAAAGGGAGACAGAATAGATTATTATGGGCAGCTTTACTTCTGGCATGACTTGGATTCACATAATACTTCATAATCATGCCTAGTGTTTCTTTTTTAACCTGATATAAATGGTTTTCTTGCCAAGTAGCAGCTGAACCTCACAGCTTTGAAAAACACAATTCTTTTGCAGCGAGAAACTCTCTTCTGTGGAAGGATAAGATATTGTGGTGGGTTAGCACACCTCTATCCAGATTTTGGGAATAGTGTTAAGCTCAAGCTTAAAAGATTGAGAAATCCACAAGGAAATCATGTTTTACAGCCATCTTGTATTTTGGTTGGATTTCCTGCAGGGCACGTTCCAGGCATGATGTAATTACGTACTGAGATCCAAATTACTCTTTTTTTTTTTTTTTTTTGGTTTTTTTTGGTTTTTTTTTTTTTGTTTTTTAAAAACTTGATTAGGAATTTGGGAATCTCTAGCCTCTTTTAATTGCATAAGGTTCTTTTGAAAGAAAACAATGCTTTTTTATTTTTTCATTTTTAGTATTATACTGTATTTTGTTACAGAGTCTACCTAATGTTGCTGTGCGGTGTTTTTTTGGGGGGTTTCTTTGTTGGGGTTTTTTTGGTGGTGGTTGGTTGGTTTGTTTGTTGTTTTGGTTTTTCCTATCTTTCCTGGTTTTGGATCTAAGATGCACTTGATGCATAAGACCTTTTGCCTGGTAGTTACAGATAATTATAGCAGGCTGACTTAAGGTAAAATACAGGATTTTTCACTAAGGAATTTATGGCTCTGTGTATTCTAGCACAACATAAAGCCCTCCTGTGTGGTCTCAAAACTCATGCTTAAGCTGTTACATACCTATCATATCCAGTCATAGCTGTGGTGTCAACCTATGCAAATCTTCCAGCATAACAATATCTTAAGGATATGGATTTTACTTACAGGATATCTTAGCAAAATAAACCTTTCTGCATTTTATTTCCCTAAGCGTTTGAAATAGCCTGAACATGGCAATATCTTTGCACAACTAAATAGGAAGTAGCAATACCCACAGTAAGGTACTTCAGCTCTGGAGGTGCGAGCAATTCATACTTGGACAAATTCTCTACTTAGTCTCAGTGCAACTCCTGTCAAACCAGCAGCCACATTTGTGGAAAGGGATTTGCTTGCAAATAGCATTAATTTTGAAGTGTGAGAGATGAAGCAGGGTGATCTGTACATAGATCTGTGGCTTGGATGTTGGTGGAGTCACTGTGGAATTGCCTCTGCCAGTCAGAGCTGCTTCATGACTCAAATATAGGTTGAATTAATTTATCCCTGTGCTGGAAAAAAACTAATCCTTGACATTAGTCCTTGGTAAAACACGTTGTGGAGTTGCTTCATGGTAGTCCATGGGTAGTTTAAGATGTGTGTTACATCTACCATGGAATATGAAAGTTCATTTTCGGTCCACCAGCAGGCAGGGTGTTGAGATTTAAAGTATCCAGAAGGCAGTGGGTGTGATATAAAGTACCTGGGAAAGGTATTTTTGTTCCCTAACCATCTGTGGAGTCTTATACCTGAAACTAATAAGAAAATAGATGAAGGAAGAAATGAAAAACAATAGAAAAAGGAATGCCATGATTTGGCTAATAATTACCTAAAGCACTTAACTTTTGCAGAGCTAATTGAAACATTTTTTTTTTTCTATTGTTTCAGATAACATTATTCAGAAAGTGAAATGCCATTTTAACTGTGCAAGTGGCTCTCGGACGAAGGCCAACTGGGAGAAGATTGAGGAGGAGCTGAAGTTCTGGCCCCCAGTTCAGCTGAAACTGGAGGATACGGAGCTGATGAATGGGATGACTAATGGCGGGCATGCAGGCGTTCATGTGGAGGTTGGTAAGTTACTACTACGCACAGGTGACAGTAGACTTCCCGAACCTAACTTTGCAAACGACAGAAAAACACGTAGCAGCAGCGGTTCCTTTTGCACTGAGACATACATCTATACACACATATATAATGCGTATGAAACTCCAGAAGAAAAGGCTGCCTTTCTATCATAGTAAACAGCATTTGGTCTTTAGATTATAGCAGGTATGCATCAGAGCCTTTAAGGATTCGTGGTAGTGTCTCTTTTTTTTCCAGCCTTACATCAGCTTCTCTATATGGACAATCGGTTGTAAGTGGACTTGGCATTCTCCATGTTAAGTTCTCCTGCTTTAAAAGGAGTTTGTTAAATTTCTATGACAAAAGAAGCTCCACTAATTCATTGCTTGTTGCAAACTCTAAGAGAAGATAATGTAATGACAGTCTCAATGAGTTGGCTCAGCCTTGAGGGAAGAAAAGGTGAGAAGAATATGAGCTGAGGGTAGAACTCTCATTCCCAGACTGTCTATCTTGAGTTGTTCTCTCCTTTTTGTTTCCTCCTTCTACCTTATTCTTTAAAATTTAATGCATTTTGACTAAAATTCTGAAAGAGGGTATGTATATCTGTGTAAGCAACGCATAGAGGTTTGACAGGGGACCTTTTTGTGACAAATACTGACATTTTACCTGCTTTTAGAAGTACTAACCTCTACTTCTTTATTGTAAAATTGGTATCTTCCTATTTTTGTTTCAGCTGCATAGTCAAAGTCCTGCCGACTTCCTCAACAAAATGAAATGCCTTTAATCCTATTAGCATGGCAGTTTAAATGCAGCTGGAGTGCCATGAGCTTGTATTTCCTCTTTTTTGCTGTTGTTCTTGGCTTATGAAACACTAATAAAACTAAGTTCCAGTTGCTCAGTCTTATTGTTTCTGATGGATGAGCTGGAATGTAATTTGACATAGGTATTTTAAGATAAAATATAGAGGGGCAGTGGCCAGGAGGAAGAAAAAATAGAATTGAAAACATTTTATTTGTGGTCAGATTTGTGAGTGCTCCTCAGAGCTGAGCTTGAAGGTTAAATATTTTCATGATGTGACAAGGCTTAGAAATTCTTTGTGCTGGTGTGAACAGTTTCAGTGCCAGTAAACATTTGCAAGCTAGTCTGTGTCCGCAGATCAGAAATACATTTTCAGTTCCCCCCATATTCTTAATTGCTTTCATTTACTTTCCATCTGGCTTTGTATTTCTGGCTGTTCTCTCTGGTCTAACCCAAACACTTTTACAGATTGTTCTGCCTTTATTTTAAGGATCGTGTTTATGATCATCTGTTTCCCTCAGCTGGAGTCAGCTTTCCTGGCTTATGTCTCTCTCCTCTCATCGTTACCTACCAGCTGAATCCCACTTTGCTGCTCTAAGTTTAGCTGTGTGGATCGTGTCTGTTCCCATATTAATGTTATTTGTATTATGGCTCTGCTGTATAGGAGACCTCTTGAGCATACACTGAAGTGTTATGGTTGCAGGAGAGCAGAATTTAATTGTGGCTGCATTCTATAGTGAAGATAGATCACTCAATGGATTGATCAGAACATCAGTCTCCTTACGTGGTTGTAGCTGGTTCCTGTCTTCTTTTGAGCTGTGTGATCACATCCCCTGGCTCTCCATTTTAGTGTGAAAGGAGTCTGAAAAGTCAGGGCAGTTTTGTCCTTGTTAGTATATATGGGAATAAGAGCTTTTCCTCCCCCCTGCCTTTTTGTTTTTTTTTTTTTTAAAAATTCTTTCTCCTTTTTGTTCCTTGTTTTGTTAACTAAACCCAGCCCAATTCTTACTAGAAAGACCCTAGCATTGTGTCCTTGATCAACATCTACACAACCTCAGCTGCTGTTGCAAAAGCCTCACCTTGTGTCTGGATGTGGGCACAGCTGATAAAGCTCTGGAGGACAATGGGGTATGTGTACAGAAGAGCTGTGAAGTGTAAGCAGCTTTCTGTGAAGAGGGAGAGTTTTCGCGTCAGAACTGGCTCTATGAAGCAGAAGAACAACTTGTGCTATTCGTCTAGTAAGCACGCTGTTAAATTATGCAGCATTGTGCTCCCCCTGATGAATGTTCTTAGTCTTTTTGCAGGCACACAGGGAGTCCTTCACAGAGTCCTTTTTAAGGTGTCTTTTGAAGATGTCTCACATCTCTGGCTTTTGTGGGCTTGTATTTTATTGTGAAGTGTTTGAGTCTGATTTCATTTTTCACTCCCGGTGCTGTCTTTATCTGGAGCTTTGAGTATGTGATTCATTGTCAAACCCTTGTTGTGCTATGCCTTGAAGAGACAGAATGCAGTGTGGTACAGGCATTCATGTCAGTCTCTGCCTAAATAGCCAGGGGCCTCTGCTCAGAAAATCCTTTAGAGGCAGAAGTTTCAATTTCTTCATTATGTGAGGGTGTTCTCACAGATTGTTCTGTACATGTTCAAACCTGCAGCTGCGTTTTTCCTGGGTGCTGGATAAAACTACAGTCCCCAGAACACCTTCTGTATGCTTCTTGCACTCTGAAGTGCACAACTTTTCAAGCTGATTTGACTCTTCAAGTAGAAACCCAATTAGCATTTAATTGCGCTTGTGTGGAATTGTGCTGTCTAAGAGTGCTTGTACTCTCTTGTTCCCTTGATGAATGTCATAAGCAAGTCTAGTATGAAATTCTGTTTATAAAAATATGATTGAATTCACACAAGGAAGTGTAATAATTTGTCCCTAGCAGTACTCATCTCGCTTGTTCTGTGCAATTTCAGTTTGTGAATTAAACCTCAGAATGATATAGCAAAAATAAAGCTCCACAGCAAACAATTTCAAGATCAGTTTTCACAGAATCTGGACCCTGAGCAGCGGGATATTGTAATCTCCTCTGCATCTGTGATAGCAATTCTCTGTATCCTACTGGACCAAAAAAAAAAAAAATAAATGTAACTTTTACATAATATTCCATGCTGCAGAAGCAATGTATTGAGACTTGCAATGTTCTTCCCTGGGGACTCTTGACATGTATAGTTTGCAAGATCCTGTAAAATGAATGATACTTGTGCTTGATAATTTTTCTTTGAGAGACACTGTGTGCCTCTGAAGTAAACCCGTAGAAACTGAGGAAGAAGAAACAGGAGTCTGTCTTAGGAAATTTCCATGAGAGAGAGATACATAGCTACAATGTTATTTAATTTATCAAAAAATAATAGGAAACTGAATACTGAGGTCAGTGAATGAAGAAACATGCTGATACAGCTTCTCTTCAGTGCGCCGTTTGGACCTTAAATTCCACTGCACAGCAAAAAAGCAAAATTGCCTTTGAATGATAGGGCTACTTGCACCATTTATTTACGTGAACATGCGTATGACGATAATACGCAGTAATGCTACGTAATGTGACATATATCAAATGGAATTAACACAGTTCCTTTTGCAGCTGCTTTGGAGATGAAATTATGGATGTATGAATGCATGCCAGACAAATTAATTCTATAGACACTTATAAAAGATACTTTATATCCCTATATTAATTTGGCATCAAACTTTTTTACATCCATCTATCAAAATCTCTCTTGAAGGAGAAGACACGAGTGTTTTCCTATCTTAAACCATGCAGTACTACAATATTTAAGCTGTTATGGTGTTTCATCTGTCACTGAAATGAAGCCAGAGGTGATGTCTGCTGTGTTGCTTGGTTTATACTAGTCAGGAGCTGGCTATGTCAGGGCAGGAGGCAGAAGATCCTGAGAGGTGGGGAGACTTCTTGAGGGCTCATTCATTCTCTCCTGTATCTTATGTGTGTCGGTGCAGGAGAGGATCTGGATTTGGTATCTTGAGCTGCAAATTACCCTCCTTATTGTTATGCTGACAGTGCTCTACTTGTGGTGATCCAAGGGCAGGGATGAAATGTGGGTGAGTATCTAGGTGTGGTGTCTGTTGTTGGGCTAGCTACTATAGCTAGGGAAAAAAAAAATAGGTGAGCTTTTAGACAACCGAAACCCTGAATTAGAAGTGGCCGATTCCAAAGTTAAATACACATTTATAACAATTGCTTTGACCTTAATTAGGCGTGTATTAATTGGATCATCTTGAAGAAATGGTATTTGGGTGTTCAGTAGTAGTAGTAGAGCAGGTGAGAGAGGAAGGAGACGGATAATTCACTACCTGCAAAACATGGGCAGGTTGGGAGAAAAGGAATTGCAATGCACTGTAAAATGTGGCTCAGAGGCCAAAACCTAGAGCATCCAGTTTAATTCCTAGGCCCCAGTTTTGGCTGCGTTTTGTCAGCCTGAGAGGCCCAGAGGTAAGAGCAAGCAGTTAGTGACGGATGTTTCCCCGCTGTGACCGGGTAGTATCATCCTGACAACTCCTCCAGCAACTGCTCTAGCAGCAGAGCATCGAAGTCCTTGGCTCCTACTGCTGTGTTCTGGCAACGGCTTGATTAGGGCACCAAATGCTGTATGGAAACTATGCAGGTGAAACTAAATTGCTGTATACCGGACTGTCAGTGGGAGGAGATACGTAATTACTGGTTGAGGAAGAGATGAATTGCTGTCTTGCTTCTGTGGGTGTCAGAAATCTAAGCTCTTTCCCAGACCCTTGGGTGCTTAAAGCCTCTAGCTTTTCTACTGACCTGTGAAGAGTGTTAAGTATGCTAATCTGCTGAAATAAACAGTTGAAAAAAATCTGTGTGCGCCATAAAAGAAGACACGAATGCTAAATAGCTCAAGAACAAATTCTATTGCTTAATCTGATTAAAAAACACTCCAGAGCTCTTGCTGATTTCTGGATGTCTGAAGAACTGAACGGTGCACTGCAACAAAAAAAGGTGTTTCTATTCATGATTGGTCTTCTCTGGAGCAAACATGATAGGTTTAGAAAATATTTAAAATCCTAATCAGCTGATTTGAGTCGTTCTAAATTAAAAGGTTCAAAGGAATAGTGCTAACTTTCACTAATGGCTTTTTTTTTTTTTTTTTTTTTCCCTTAAGTCCCCACTTACAGAATGCAGCGTGTGACTCCCCTGGGGATTCTGTCGCTTGTTCTGAACATCATGTGTGGAGCTTTGAATCTCATTCGAGGAGTTCACCTAGCAGAGTATTCATTTCAGGTAACCCCGCTTGAATTGAAACCTGTAAAGAGAGTTGTTTGGGTAGCCAGATTAAAGGTTGGCTGTTCTGCTTCTTAGAAGAACATATCTCTTTCTGCAAGAAGTGTTTTGTTTGTCCAGGGAATGTAGAATTGATTGCTCACCTGCTAGACCTCATGTGTTTTGTTGTATATCGCAGCACATTGCATTTCATTCTTTTCTAGCGAGATTAAAATTTGGACAAGTATTTTAGTCTTGCCAGGTTGGATGGATATTTTTTTTTTTCATTCTTGTATTTTGTTCTAGATACTTTTGTGTAATTTTTTTTGAACAAATGTGAAACTAAACAACTTTTAGAGAGGGGGGGAAAAAAAAGTGTCCTGATTGTATGGTGGCACAGTTTTATTTAGCAGGAATTGTCACATAAGCCTCAGTTCTTGGTATCTTGTTCAATGATATTGATCTTGCTATTTAGCACTGTACCAGTCAATCAACATAAACTAGGATGAGAGGTACTTGGTTAAATATAGTGTTCTAAAATATCAAGCAGCACTTGCTAAAAACTGTAGCTGACGTAGTTGTTTGTCACTTCTTTTAATCCAAACAGGAGGACCATGAAGGAATTGGAAATGTGATAGCTTTTTTTCTACCTTTCCTAGCCTGCGTTTTTCAGGTATGTTAACTGTAAATAAAATGCTTCCTGATTATTTTTGTATTATAATCTACAAGACAAAATAATTTTCAGCTAAGCAGAGCAACAGTTTGGTTTTTAGTATCCTACGTAGGTGATTCCATGGAGGTGTTCCAGTGAAGTGGCACAAATACAGGGAAAGGCACAATCTGACCCCTGGCAAATGGCAGTGGCAAGCTTTTTCAGTGCTTTCATATTTTGATGTGCCAAATGGGGCTGTGATAAATAAGTGCTAGCCCAAAGGTGGTTTGTTTCCCAAAGGGATAGACACGATGTCTTTCTGACAGTGGCAGACTTAGTGATAGGGCGCATGACCACCTTGAAGGACTAAGCAAATACAGGATAGCAACATTATTGAAAATGTTCTGATTTGCATTAAAAATAACTTTTAATTCTTGAGACAAATGTGGTTCTTGACTTCCTTAATTTTATTTTTCCCCTGATGGGTTGTTTTCTCTGACGTTCTTACGCAGAAGAGTTTGAATGAGGAAAATACGATATCCTCCAAATGGGTTCTTCTTGAAAGGTTCCTTAAATGCCTGAAACATCAGTCCACAACTTTTAACTTGAGGGCAGTGTGTGGTTTGCAAAATCTTCAATTTTTAGCCTGTCGTGGCAGGAAGCTGTTGCAGTTTGGGTTACTACCTGACAGAAGGAATAACATGATGCCCACAGTGTATTCACTGCTTAGTGCCGCTGCATTTGGCATGTGGTTTGGGGACCACTGGACCATTTGGTTAATGGTTTGGGGACCGCTGCCTGAAGGCTATTTAGCCTCTCTGCAAGTTTTAAATACCATAGATATTTCTTGTATCATAATAGATACAATTTAGTGTCTTTCAGCCTTCTTAGACCTCTGCTCATAGCAGAGTTTTAAGATGGAGATAATAATTTGGATCTAAATACTTGATGCAGCTCATTCTTCACAAAGAAAGGCTCTGTCCTGCTTTTTTCCCTTTAGCACCTGAAGCTAGAGAAGCTAAATAAGGAAGAGTTCTCCCTTATCCTTTTGATCTATAGCAGTCATCTCCACAAAATGCTTGTGCATAAATTGAGCTCAAATGTGCAGCAGTGTAGAATACGTGCTGATCTCTATGTGTGTCATCAGCACAGTTGGAAACTGTGACCTTAAGTGAGAAAGCATGATCTGTTACTGCCTGAGTTAAAAAAGTAACTCTTCTGCCAGCACTTTGTGAGTTTTTAGTTTTCTCCCCTTAGGGTTGTTGCTCTTCACACATGCTTAGCAAATGGGTTCCACCTGTTCTTGAATTTAACAAGAAAAAAAGCCCCAAACCCCAGCCAAAGCTCTTAGCAGAAATGGTCTTTCTATGAAGTCAAGTCTAGAGAATGAAGTCCTCTACTTATCCCAGGAACAAATAGAGGAGGAGCAGATTTGGGTTTGCTGTTTTCCTGCTTCTGAAGCCTTTGTCTTGCAAAAATCATAGGTGGCTTCTGCAAGCTGGCTCGGCTTTCAGACTCGTTTTAATCCAGGCTGAGGCAGGCAGGAGGGATGCTGGTTGTGCTGACAGACTTCTGATATCTGTGCTTACCCAGTAGGGTCTGGATTGCGGCCACCTCTCCGGCTATTCTTGGAGGGCCTTTCAACATTGCAGTTGAAGGGGAGCTTTGAGCTTCTTAGCGATCGCTGCGATGGCAGGCACATGCAAGGGGCACGGATATGCCAGCAATTCCCAGCTGTGTCTCTCGTCTATATGTACATAGTTTAACACTAACACTGTCTCTCTGGTCCTTTTCTAGTGTTACTTGTACCTCTTCTACAGCTCGGCAAGGAAGGTGAAGACGTTTGTACTCTTTTTCTCTGTTTGTTTATGCAACATTTACTTGTACGGATTACGGAACCTCTGGCAAATAGCCTTTCACATAGGAGTGGCATCTCTTTCTTCTTATCAGATACTGACAAGGCAACTTATGGAGAAACAGCCTGACTGCGGAGTATGAAAAAGGCTTTGGGTTTGCTACTCATATTTTTACAACTTTTTTTTTTTTTTGTATTAAACTGGCCAAAAATAGCTTGGAATATTTTTAAAGATTTGTGACCTTGGTTATTGCAAGGAGGATATTTCGAAGCAACTTGGAATGAAGTAGGATACCGTAATCATGTCAAACATACTGTGAGGAACATAGCTGTATTTAACATGGCATGTGGTAATGGTGCATGGTAGATTTTGTCAGGTGTCATCAACAGATGGAGGTTCTCCTTATCACAAACAGGCTTCTACTCCTTGACTAACACCATCGAGACAGCATTTTGCCATTTATCTTACGGGCTTTGTAACAGTTTGGCAGGTCAGTGTCTTGCCCTGCCGATGCTTCCAAAAATATTAAAATTGTGTAGTAAAATGAAGGTAAAGTGGTGGGTAACATTTTTGTCTATAGAATTTGTTAAGCATTAAGATTCCTGGTAAATGTAAGTAAAGGAGTTGTTTGCCATAATTAGATGAGTTCAATATCAGTGGGGAAAATTATTAGGATGAGCTTCCGGGTAATTTTTCTATGTTTTGAAGGAAAGGAAAAGGCTGTGGCTCTTTAAAAATAACAGCTATAAATATCTCCTAGCTAAACAGCGCATCGTAGTTAAGTATGTGCTCATTGGTTAATTGCAAATATGCTTGGGGCAGCATAAAATAAAGCAAGTGAACATAAGTGATCTTTCAGCTCAAGTGGCCTTTATTTCCTTGGTTAAGGTCACTCTTAGTATAAGGGCAATTCTGTGTTTGTGTGGTCTGTACGGATAATAAATCTTCCAAGGCTACTTATGACAGGCCACTGACTCCTTCACCTTTTTAAAAAAAAAAAAAACAAAACAAAAACGTATAGCTGGTGAGTAGAAAGCCATTTCCAGTAATGGAAAGCAAGAGCAGGTTCTCTTTATTATATAAAACACCTTTAGTTAATGGTGTTGAGTTCTTACACTAAGATGAATTTCTGAGTGTGCACTTTTGAATATAGTACTTAAGAGCTGAAATTCTTAACCTCTGCTGCACTGGGTGTTCTTGTGTGTAATGTATTGAGGTGCATATGGGCATTTTTAGGACATAAATGAATAACTTAGGCTGTCTGTTTAAAAAAAAATGCGTAGCATTTTGATGCAGCTGTCCTTGAAGGGTTGTAGAGACTCAGACTGAGAAGATGTAGAGAGCTGTAGGTGTGTTGTCGTGGAAGTGTGGTCCTAGGTTTTCTTTCATTTTTTTTAAGAAACTGGTTTCTGGTCGACCCATTTCTTCCACCAGATATCTCTCACCAAAGATTTATTTTCCTCTCACATAGGCTTTACCTCTAATGGTTGCAAAGGGATTAACATGCTGCAGAGTTGTCTTCCTGAGTTTGCAGAAATGCTTAACAAAATTGCTTTCTTGCATCTCGGTGAATTTTCCTGAAATCTTTTGATGCAAACACGAGTATCAGTAGACTGCTAGACCAGATACCTGTGGTGCTGTACCTTGGAAGCGCTTCTGCGATGCAGCTGACTGCACCAACACCACTGATAGGCAGCCCATTACAACCTGGACAGTTTCTAGGACATCAAGGGACTTGGTGCCAGAGCTTCTTCCAGTAGTAAAATGTAGGTATTTCTCTTCCATCCCATGTTAGCCCATTTACTGTAACAGTAACGTAATGAAATCCTTTCAGCTGTGAGGAATAGTCTAGTAGGAATGGTGGAGAAGTATTTTAGCCAGCCAGTTCAGAGCTAGAACTGTGTGCCATAAGGGAATACTCTTCTAAGGGAGTGGATTAAAATTGCTTGTCTGTCATTACCCCAGTTTTCTGCCAGAGTGTAAGTGGAGAAATGAAGCCAGAATTCAGCCATTGTCCTCAAGACACCCAGGTGACCCCACAGGTGGGAGGGTTTTAGAACTGACAAGATTTAAGTTTTCATGTTGTTTAGTCCCAGCTTTACTTGGTAAGGTACTCTTAAGAGACTGCAGGGAGCTAAGCCACGAGTTTGGATTACAAGTTTAAAAAAAACCCAAAACCACACACACACACAAAAAAACCTGAAAAAAGGACACCCCCAAAAATCTGATACTAGAAACAACGCTTTCTTAAGGATCCTGGATCTGATGACTGCTTGTGTTTTCCAGGAGCATAAGCTGGGTATCACCCTGCTGAGTTACCATGGGGAATCATCCTGTA